GGCAACAGATGCCAGCTCCTGGAATGCTCATGTTCGAGACGTGTGTGTCCAGGGTCAGTGGTCAAGACAGGAGTCCAGAGCTTCGTCCAATTGGAGGGAATTGAAGGCAGTTTTGAATGCGCTTCTCCATTTCCAAGAAACAATGAGGGGTCACCACCTTCTGATTCTGTCAGACAGTGTAGCAGTAGTAGCCTACATCAACAAGCAGGGGGGTACAAGAAGTGCATCCTTACAGAAGTTGGCAGAGAGAATATTCTTTTGGGCAGAGGGGGCACTGGCCTCCATTTCTGCAGTTCACCTGAAAAGGGTTCAGAACAATCTAGCAGACTATCTCAGCAGACACAGGATTCTGCAGGATCAGTGGACTCTATGTCCAGAGGTTTACGATCTCCTGGTACGTCAGTTTGGAATTCCAGAGGTGGATCTTTTTGCTTCTGGAAAAAATACCAAGGTAGAGAGGTTCTTTTCTCTCAACCCTATGGACAGGGCAGTAGCACATGATGCGTTAACCAATCCATGGATCTTCAAACTGTGTTATGCCTTTCCACCAATATACCTAATACCGAGGGTCCTTCAAAAGTTCCTCCGGGAGCAGGCAGACCTGATCCTTATAGCACCTTTTTGGCCAAAAAGACCCTGGTTCACTCTCCTGCAGTCCCTAGCTGTCTTTCCACCATGGAGATTACCAGTCAGAAAGGATCTACTATCCCAGGGTCCTGTTTTTCACCCAGGATCTCCATCTCTAAATTTAACCGCTTGGTTTCTGAAGAAGACATGCTGAGGGCTAAAGGTATATCTGACAAAGTTATTGTTACATTACATAACAGTCGTAAGCCAGTTACTAGGGCCATCTATGGCAAGGTGTGGAAAAGTTTTAACTCTTGGTATAAGGCTAATAACCGATTTTCCATTCCTACAATCTTGGATTTTCTGCAGGATGGGGCAGACAAGGGTATAGCAGTAAGTACGCTTAAGGTCCAGGTATCAGCCTTAAGTATCTATTTGCAGACTTCTCTTGCTACAGAACCACTTATTTCTAGATTTTTCAAGGCCATGAAGAGATTGAGGCCAGCGCCAATAAAAAAATTTCCCCAGTGGGATTCGTCTTTAGTCTTGAAAGGACTCCAAGATCCTCCTTTTGAACCCATTTCAGAGATTTCATTAAGGTCTATTACACCTAAAACTGTTTTTTTTTTTTTTTTATAGCAGTCACCTCTGCTAGAAGGATTAGTGAGCTGCAAGCTTTATCTATCCAGGAACCCTTCCGTTCCATTTTTGAGGATAGAATCTAAGATTGCTTCTTTTTTTCATAGAACCCAGGACATTGTCCTTCCAACCTTTAGTGCTAGCCACTCTAATGATAGGGAGAAAGCCTTCAACTGTTTGGATGTTAGACGTTGTTTATTAGCTTACTTAGAAGCGACCTAATCTTTTCGTAAGTCAAATGCCCTTTTTGTTCTGTTTTCGGGTTGTACTAAGGGGAACAAAAGCGTCCAATCATCCATTGCAAGATGGATTAGGTTAACTATATCAGAGGTTTATCGGATGGCACAGACTGTGCCACCACCTTTCCTGAAGGCACATTCAACTAGATCTATGGCCACATCCTGGGCGGAAAGAGCAAGGGCCAAGAAATTTCATCTTGAACAGTTAAATTTTTTCCATGGCCACAGGATTTGTCTTCTGGCATGGTTGTTTAAGAAATTAGATAACTTGTGTCCAGCTGAGGCTAGGTTCACACCTGCACTACACCGCACGACACCGGGTGTCATGCAGTACTGCACAATGCAGACACTGAGTGCCGCGCGGCCCCATTGATTTCAATGGGGTGACATCTGCGCACAAGTACCTTTTTTCTGTGATACACGACACGCGGCTGTTATAGGAAGCCACATGATCCGCTCGCCCAGCGCGACTGGGGTGCCATTAGAAAATAATGGCACCCAGAGCACGATTGGTTCTCACCATGGCGACTCCTGATTGTGTGGCAATGAGGTGTCGCCTAGGTGTGAACCTAACCTGGATAATTACTGCAGTGATTTTAATCACTGCAGTAATTATCCAATGGAAGGCTATTGCTAATTTGTTTAGCTAAATCCAGGTGGCGACTTTGTTTTTGGCCAGGCAGTGTGTATGACGCTTCTCTCTTGTACTATTATATTCTGACACAGTTCTGAACAAGAAACAACTACTTCTATTCTAAACAAAACTGTCCTTTTTTCTGTCTTTGTCTTCTTTTACAGAGGATAACTCTGACAATTCAATATGAAGACAAAATAACACTGTGACCATATAATGATGTCCGACGATGAAACAATCCCTAATAAATATGAGTTTACCAAATATCTCATGGTTTCCTAACATTGACAAAGAGTATCCGTAAACCATGTGACAGAAAAAAAAAACCATACAGTTGGAAGCACTGCATTTTGTACTCGGGACTACTTCAGTGGGATGATATTATAAAATCAGAATACAGTGAATCTTTAGCCAAAAGTAAAAATGTAATGTGTTGCAGTTTATCTGTCTTAGGTGGTGGCTGCATTACGTCTCTTTTCAGACTTTTTACCTTTTATTTTCACTTAGTAATCCTGCAAATAACCCACTTCCTGTCCTAGGATGGCTACATTCACTGCTCCTCTGTATTTATGGAGGGAGACATGGTTGTCACACAGGCTGGACTTCAGACATGTCTGCTTTGATTCACTTACATTGTTGGAGAGATGATGGGAATAATAGGTTACAGAACGAAGATAACATTGTTTTTCTTTCAGCTTAGCTCAAAAGAAGTGACAAGGACACATCATCTGTGGCAAGATTTTCCATACTTACTGTAAATGTTCTTAGCCTAAAAAAGAAAAACAATGCAGCCACCACATCTATATTTTAATATCGTATTTCAACAAATAAACATTGAGTTCAACAAATCGAAATGTAGTAATTACTGCAAAATGTATCAAAATAAATTTTTGATGTGACTGAAGGTGGCCACGCATGTGGCAACATTATTGTACAGTTCCTATGCAATCTTCACTACATTTACCAAAAGCAATGTAGAGTGAGGGTTAACTAAACAGATCATTCAGTGTCTCTCCAATCAGGTAGTGTCTCATACCATATTGTTGATAGAAAGTCTAAAGGCCTGTTCACACTAGATGCCGTGAGTGCTGTCTTTCAGAAACTAAACAACGCCAGTCACCACTATGACACATTCAAAAAAATGTTTTCAATGTGCCCTATTAACACCACAACGCATACTGCATATGTAAGTAAAAAGTAAAGTAGCAGAGACAAGAGAAACCTGGCACTCCTACAATGTAATGGTTACAAAGTGGCTTATTAAACTCAGGTTGTGCAACCCAAGGGTCACGCCTCCAAGTGGGGGTGCAGGAAAATTTAGGAGGGTCCCACCGGTGGGATAGTGCTCTGCCATGCACCATTCCCCTGCTACCTGCAATAAGAACAGTAACCCCTGATGCCAATGCAATGTGGTGTCCTGGCCCCTCTTAGTCAGAGAATCTCTCCTGATCAGTTGAAATCTTATTGTCTGAATGCTGACGGCAGGAAATTAATTGAGGCCAGTACACTAAGGTACTGTTTAAAAACACATTTAAAATGTATGTATAGCTAATATATTTTTTTGGCTGTCTGTGTACCATTGAGGAAATTTCCCATGACTTCCTGTCCCAGAGACATGACAGGAAGTTAGACAAAATCTCCCAAAGTGAGGTGAAGTTCACTCAGTGAACTTCAGTTTCCCCCAGAACAGGTGCCCCCAATGGAAGATTTCCTCTTTGTTTTAGGGGCAACACTAACATTTTGTCTTTCCCCTCACTTTCTCTCTCAGTGACAATGGTCACCAGTACAAATAAAGAGATTAATCTTCCTAATGCAGACCGAAATAAAGACTTAACAAAGGGAACTAGTTTTAGTCTATCCAAAACTAAAAAAAAATTTTTTCCTAGAGATACGCTTTAAGCATTTGTACTGAATACATAACACGGTAAGATGGGGGTCTGTGATATTGCTCGACACTTAAACTTTTAAGAAACAGTACTGTATTATGGGTTTGGGGTATATCACAACCATTCAGAAGAGCCAAGGATACTGAAAATTGAGCAGCTCCTGTGTAAGGTAAGCCAACTCCAATTATCTACTTTTCTCCCAGTAACCACCAATGTAAGATGTCTCTGAAGGTTCCCATTCATCCAGATCATCGTATATCTGTAAAAAAAAAAGTCAAGGCAGCTGGACTTGCTGTATTTTTCTTGAAGATGTTTCACTGGTCATCCAACCATCTTTCTCAATTCAGAATGACTTGTACAAATATTCTCTGGGAATAAATATAGTGAATTTTGCTCCAATCCACATAATGTGTTAATCACAACCAGGTGTCATAATTGGACCTAGGAGGTGTTATTAACCTGCCCAGAGAGAGGTGTTAAATGTAAGAGGGTCCTTCTCCACTGACCAACAATATAGGGGGACACATCACCACTGACCACATATTTCATTGTGGAATCTGTAGCTAGCCCTTACAACAGTTGGCGTTAATGTGCATGTTCAATCAGAAAGACATTGCACCAATTTAAGCTGCATGGAAAGTGTGCCAAGAAAAAGTATTTGCTGCCAAAAAGGAACATTATGATATGCCATTGAAGATATAGGCAAAAGCAAAGTCAAAAACAGTCCGACTCATATGTTACTTGTAGTGTTTTCATTCTTCTGTGAAAACATGACTGTTCCAACAAAGTCACAGTGGGGGCACTTTATCAACTTTTAAAAATAATAATGATGAAAAACAAACTTTAAAAAAATATATTTGCATAATCCCCTGCAAGGCCTCCAATGACAGGTTATTGGTTATCAAGTATTTGCTGTTCATTGGTCAATGTTCTCGTAGCGAATCCTGCTTCCAACAGTGTAAGAGGGGGGAGTCTAGGGGAAGCAAAACATACCAAGTCCAAGCCAAGCTTTCTACACTCTCATTCTAAGCCCTGCAACCCTGCACAATGGTGTCATGGGTGCTGTGCGCTGGTCTAGTCCTTCTTCACATCTCCTGCTCTGTGGAAGCCAAACTGTGAGTAATTTAATTTAATGCTAGTGTATATGCGATACCCTTGGTGATGTTAGATGGGTTCCTAGTGGTGTAACCCATTTAAAAGCTGAGTAATAAATGTAAAGAATTTCAATGTTTGTGATACATTGTATAAGAGTTTCAGTTTGTATTGTTTGTATTTGGAACAATGGACGTTAATTAGAACACAGCTGTGTTGATTTTACTTCCCATAGGCTGGATAGAAGCTTTTACCCTGACCCATTGTGTGTCAGAACACTAGGATTACAAACAACATCAATGTTTCTATATACAGTAGATCTTGTTAATCAATTTGTTTTATATATCTGGATTTACAATAAAGGATTGAATGGAAATTGTTTTTGCTATAATGATCAAAGTGTTTACCAATTATGATAAATAGAAGCAAATGATTGCAATGGCATGTTACTGTAGTTTAGGAAATCTTAAATGTTCAGTAGCTGATCATTACTGATACTTTGATAACCACATAATCTTTAATGTATGCACACCAGTCTGAAAAGGCAGCTGCAGTTAAGCAATATGTTTATTCAATTGTGTAGTTAAAAGGACAGTTATTGAACTAAGGTATCAATATCATTACAATAATTTCCAACGGCTTTTTACAATTTACTCATTTTTTGTTGCACTGCTTAACTATCTAAACTTGAGGGCACATTAATATATATGCATTGCCGTAACATGTAGCAAGGGGCGCACTTTACTGTGCACTTTACTGTGTATCGCAACACATATACTTTGATGAGGTGTATTGCTGTGCCATTAATTTTGCATACAGTTGTGTAAAAAAGCAAGCACTGTGACATGTTTTAACAATACGTGGCAGCATGTGTGCACATCTTACATGGGTGCATGTTCATTATGCACATCTTAACACCTTCCGGCTGGTGTGATCCAGCACTAAAAGGTATTCTGACTTCTGTCCCCATGTGCATAATGCTTCTATACTTTACTTTTTGAATTTAACCACAAGAGGTTGTTCCAGAAAACAGTCCAGAGGGCAGATGAGTAGAACATAATAAGAAAAACATATGTTAATTTTAAGCCTTTGTGCGCCTTTAACCCTGCTGTCTGTCCTAGGTATTGACCCATGAGCTCCATTATGGTAAATACAGTAAAAAAAATTGACTTCTCCGATATAACTTCCCAGTCATGAAAATACAGGCCTGAAAAGCTCTCATATGACTCTTGCCTGTTAGCAGACCATTTAAGTTGGTGCCAAGTGAGAGCTTTCCAGGCTTGTAACTTCATGATTGAGAAATGGTGTCAGACATGATTTCCACACAACACTCTACATGTGTGGGCAGATCAGAGCACTTTCATTGACCTTTAAAGTTAAAGATCATCACATCTGTGTTAAATGTATCTAAGGTATGTCACAACAAATCACTGGTGTGGAAAATTCTCATTCTCAATGTCATTCAGGAAAAGCACAAGCCAATATGATAGGACAAGGTCACACAGGAGTTTTACCTGCCAGTAACCACAGAACATTTCTTCACAAAGCTTATAGGGTATTGCTAAATACAAATAAGGTTTTTTTTATGGAAGAATGACCCAGGGATGTGATCTTGGTCCTGGCTTCACTAACACCCTGCCTTACCTGAATGACATTTTCAATGTCATTCAGGAAAAGCACAAGCCAATATGATAGGACAAGGTCACACAGGAGTTTTACCTGCAAGTAACCACAGAACATTTCTTCACAAAGCTTATAGGATATTGCTAAATACAAATAAGGTTTTTTTTTATGGAAGAATAACCCAGGAATGTGATCTTGGTCCTGGCTTCACTAACACCCTGCCTACCAGAAAACGTATTCTCAGATTTCAGTTGCTGTTATTTATTAAAAAAATATATATATATTTCTAAAAATTATCTTTTGAGATGTCACTCTACTTACAACCACCTTTCCTTGGGAAAAGGCATTCTCAGACCTCAGGAGGATGTACAAAATAATGTCCAGTCAACAGAAGGTTAAACCTGACACGTAACTAGCTTTATTTTGTATCAAAGATTGCATAGGCAAATAAAATAAAACAAACAGAAAATAAATTGTTGTTAGGCACTTATTAACACAGTGGTACCTCTCTAAATGGTTGTAAGCTTCCCCCAACCACCCCAAAACAAACAATATTCTAAACCTGGCCTGGAGTTTTCCTGTCTTCCGCAGGGCAGGATTTAAGGGGAATTACTCCTTTCCTTTACAATCCCCCCCCCCCTTGCAATGTCACAGTACTTATATACTGTATATTAGACATGTGCGATTCGTTTAGTTCCGAATCGAAATTCGGACGAATTTTCGGAAATTCGGACATTCGGATGTATCCGAATTCCGAATTACAGACATAACGAATGCAAACTAATCCGAATTTCCATTTCCAAAATTCTGTAGCGTTAGTACGAACGTTCGTTTCGTTTTCTGTTCTTATTCGTTTCTTATTCGTTTCTTATTCGTTTCGTTCGTTGGAGCAAAGTGACATTAGAGGAAAAAAATATTTTTCCCCCCTCAAATGTCACTTTTGCTGCAAACGAAATAAACGAATAAGAAACGAATAAGAAAAGAAAACGAAACGAACGTTCGTACTAGCGCTACCGAATTTCGTCCGAATCCGAATTCCGAATCCGAATTGACTTTCACACCCGAATCCTAAAAAACGAAATAACACAAATCCGAATTTAAAACAAAACGAAACTAAACAAATTTTTTGGCAGTGCACATGTCTACTGTATATATTATATGTATGCATTGTAAAAGTTTTGTTTTTAAACCTTTCAGAACACAGGCACTGCTTCTATTTATTACCTAAATGATTATGTTTGTTGTAGATTCCAGTGAGCTTAGATATCTGATGATAGGCACTGTAAGATAAGTGGCTTTAGCAACTCCTTTCGCTCCTTTTGTTTTCTAGAAGACACCTGCCTATCTTTTGCTGCCCTTAGAGTGCCATTCAAATATGTATGGCAACTCATCTGCACACGCTATGGAAGTCATGGGGAGCTGTCGCTAGCGCATCAGTGAATGTCTGCAAATCTACAGACCATGAAACCGTTTAGATTATTGATTATTTGAGGACCCGCTGACCTCATTTGTCAAAGTGTGCACTATTAAATGAGCATGAAGGTCTTGGGTGTTCCCATCCATGTCATGTCATCCTTTGATGCATTTCTTTTATTTTCCTACAAGTAAATCTCACTTAAAGTGACACTAAACTCCCGAGTTAAAGATTAAAAATTCATTCCAGTACCTTTAACTATTAGCTTATTTGTGTATCACTCGGCTTTAGATCCTGAAGTCATCTCTGAATTGGTGCTGACACTGTCCTTCCTTCTGGAGGGGTTCTACTTTTGTTCCCCATCATCCTGTGTGTGTATTGTAAAGTAGCGATTGCTCCAAGCTCACTTCCATTTTGGACTACAATCTCATGTTTAGTTTACTAATTTGTACAGAGAATTGCTGTTCTGCGAATAATTTCGAAAGCCAGAGAATGGTTTGGATAAGTAAAAATTTTTAGACTGTGCCCATTAAAGAGGAACTTTACCCATTTCTTCAAAATAACAACAAAGACATCTTTAGAAATGTTTAGTAATGACAATCTACAAACACATACTACTAGATAATTGCCGCTTTGTATTCTTTGCATACCGTATTTCTCTTTTCTTCCCCAGTCTTCTGACAGTGGCCATTTTAACTAAGGGTAGACTAATAGAACTCCCTTTACTTTCGGGATCTCAGGCACATGTGACTAGGACATGTGACCATGCACATCATCCCAGGAGAGGAAAATTCCTTTCCCTGAGATCTCATGGGATTACAGATAAGATTTCCCAGAATGCTCTGCTTATGTAACATTCTCAGGATGCAATACTTGGTCACAATTACATAATTTGTGCCAAAGGGGACCAGGAAGTAGAAAAAAAAGAAATTGCAAAAAAACAAAAATATGTTTGTTTAGCTAACACAAGTAAGATAATTTCATATCAGCATGCAGCATGCATGCTGTATGATGATGGGATTTTTAATCAAAGGGGTAAAGGTCCACTTTAAGTATGGATAAATGTTTCACAATTCTTTTAAATCTCCCTTTGTGGTTTCTAATGCTGACTTTTAATCTTTGCAGGCACTATGCTGTCATCTTCCCCTCTGAAATTCACTCTCATGAAACTCTATGTATACACCTGGAGGGGGCTCAGGGGGAGAGCAGAGTACAGATCTCTTTACGGCTGGATGAAAAGAACACAACCCTTGTGGAGAAGATATTTGACCAGGAGTCCATATTCACCTGTGTTCCAATCCAGGTAATTAAGTCCACATCTATGATATGCAGAAATAAACAGAGGTTCTACATGGCTAAGGAGATGATTAGGATAGTGGAAGATTAAGATGTGAATTATGTGGGAAGGGGTGAGGTCCAACTAACCTGATTGGCATTTGAGAGCCAGATGAGTAGGAAGAAACCACAAGGTTAGGTCCTGTGAAGACTGCTTTCCAAAAAGTTCACGCGATGATGGATATTTTCCTGGCTCAATTAAGGTTTGAGGGAAGACTGGAAAGGGTTGTTGGTGTTTTTCCAATGTGCTGGATCCCCTGTGGAAAATGAAGATGTCAGATTTGGTACTGTGCTTGAGCCAGTGTTATGTGGCTTGGCTGAAAAATTCACCTTCTGAACAGTCTCAGCCAGAGAAAATTAGGGGCTCACAGGCAGGCACACTATCCATCTTTGATCCAAACACATGACCAAACGTCCTCCTATATTTGTAGACTTTGTAACAAGACTCTATCCTTAATAGGATAGTGGACAGAACCATGATGATGAGCCCCAACCCATAGTCCTAGCATATAACCAAAGCTTATTCTTTTAATCTCTTGAACATTCAGAAGAATTAAACATGAGTGCTGATTGGTTACTGTTGGTAAGTTTGAATAGCAAGTTGTTTTCTTGGTAAAGTGAAGCTATAATTGTTCTGGGTTTTTAATAAAAGTGTAAATTCAGCCATCTGAACGGAGCAAACCTAAAATTGAAGTGCCACAATGGGGCTTAATCTACCACACACACGCCTTATTCATATGTGTGTGTAAATATCCAGAAGACAAGGACAACATGTATAAAAGGAGCTGAGAGGTCCACCACCTCGGTGCATATAATATATATAAAAAAATGTTTTTAACCCTGACCAAAATACAATAATTATGAAACCATAAATAAAAATAATATACACTATTTGCAGTGAAAATACTTTGTTTGTCTTGAATTTCATTTGTTCAACTCTCTCCTTTACCTACATGGAACTGGAGTTCTGCCTCAAGCTCAAATCCACCAATTCTTTTTTTTGTTGCTTAGGTTTTCACGCCTGTAGAGTCGGATGTAGTGGGCACGTTGGATGTCTCCATAGAAAATGCAGGGGAAACAGTAATGAACAGCAGTAAAGTTCTGGTGATGAAGATGAAATCCGGTCTTTTGGTTCAGACAGACAAAGCTGTGTACAAACCAGGACAAACTGGTAACTGTTTAATCAATACAGAATTCTACAGGAATGTATATTCCAGGAAATAAGTAAAGCAATAAGATGCAAAAGCCATACAATAAATACTGTAAGACTGCTATTCAGACCAAGGGCATTGCTAGACCCTGACACCCAAGATATATGCAATACAGGGAGTAAGGCCATTGCAATGACATCACAATAGTAATCCTTATAATTTTTTTAAACTAAAAAGCTTTATAATCAAAACATCATTAAAAGTTACTCTTCTTTGACCCATATGTTTTTGTATTTTGTAAAAACATGAGAGTTATTTTTAGCATCATACAAAGGTTGTTTAAATTCATAACTATAAGAAAGTCCAGATATATTGCCAAAACCTTAAACATTTTCCAAACATCTGGTAAAAGAGAATTACTGTACCAATGAGCTGAAGAAACCATTTGCATGAGGGGTAAAAGCTTTTCAAGAATGATCAGCAAGTCCAGTTGTGTTTCAATAGATTTTACATCTCATTATTTGGTTGCTTGAAACCCTGAACTAGCATTGTTGAAGCACTTTTAAATGATTAGGAGAGAGCTTATAGAATCATAACATTTTACATTTGTCTTTTACAGTTAAATTCAGAATCCTCTCCATTAATGAAAATCTTCAACCCAGACATACTGTGGTAAGTGTTTATGTATGGAAATATAAGAGTTTAAAAGCTATAAGTAGTAGCTTTATGGATAAGAGACTCCGCTATTTAATCTAAAATTACATCACATATTAATACAAGGGATAATCTTTAACCCATCAACACTTTTTATTGGAAACTCTTACCGCTAACAGTCATGAACATGTGAAGAGTTTCTATGTCTTCTACTGTAAGCGGGCATTTTGATGGGAATAACCAATGTAAGGGGGGGGGGGCACTCTTATGGGGTCAACCAATGTAAGGGGGTACTCTGATGGGGACAACCAATGTAAGGGGGCACTCTGATGGGGACAATTAATGAGCATGCCTCCTGACATTTGTTGTTCCCATTAGAGTGTCCCTGTGCGCTTTCTCAGCAGGAGGAGGACAGGACCTGGAAGGCGGAGCGGTCTGCGGGTCTGGATGAAAGAAGTTAGTCATCGTCCTCCTGTGATGCTCAGGATTGGACGTGCATGTGATTTCCTTGGTTTTTAGGATGCCGACAGTTCTAGCAACCAAAGACCACAGAGGAGGGGGAATCTTGACTGGCTTATGGCTTGCTGTCAGTGGATGCACCTGTGCAGCCTTTGTCATCCAACCAGACATAAACCAGCGCAAGTGTGCAATCGTGATCTGAACTTTCACTTGGTCCATGTCCGGCGTCCAGTCCACTTAGTGATCCCAGCTATGTAAGCATTTCAGCTAATACTACTACAGCAAAACTAGTAATAACAGTATAATATACGAGAATGGTTGCTGCACCTATATCTGTATAAACAGCATGCTAACAAGACTAAATAGACATTCTGAGCACAACAATGCACTGTCTTTGTGCACCTGGCAACTAAACTGGTATCACAAGTTGAATGCAGACACCTAGTTATTGGGTGTACTTAGCCATATAAACAATAGCTTTAACCTATTAGTCAGTGAAGCTGTCCATCTCATCAAGTGACCAATCAAAAGATGGGTGGAAAGTGGCAATGCACACTACACCTCTACTCTCTCCAGTATTTGCATGTGAGGTTTTAGGGTTCTTGGGGTGCACTTGAGGGTATCTCAATGTACCTTCTTGTGTCAACTCAGTTGATTTTACTTCAATATACAGTAGATTTGCACTGACATTAGTGCTACTATGACTATCAGATTTTGCTATTGCTTAGTGAGAAAAGGCAGACAGGGCAGGACAATTTATTGTGCACCAGTGTGTCAGCACACCGTGGTGATAGTCTATTAAAAATGCTTTTAACACATTATTTGATATGTCTGTACCTTTGTATTTATATTTGTACAGTTCTGGGGAAACATTATGTGGCCCGTTTAGAGGCTACGAGTACTTAACATAGTTCTTAGCTAACAGAAAATTATGATTTATTCCAGTAAGCACACTATCTGAGCTATTGTAATATTTATTATGTTGATGTGTTTAAACCTTCACACTTTGCATGCTTCTTGTACTATATTTATATTGCTACTTTACATATGGGCCATAGTTTAAAAACTATGAATCTAACATAGACCAAACAATAACTGCTGATGAATCAATCACTGCAATTTAAAAAGCTTGCACCGGGAAGATACACCTGCAGTGAATATTACAAATATGACTATTTACAAAAGGGTGAAGAGTTTGGAGAAGGCTGGAGAAGTGAACAATCTAGGACATCATAGCTGATTTGGAAAAATCCTCCAATTCAGCTCACTTTCCAGTTCAGCTATGTTGTCCTAGATTGTTCATTTCTCCTGCCTTCTCAAAACTCTTCACCCTTTTGTGAATAGCCCTGTTAGTGTCACATTTACTGCTTCTTAAATAGACCCAGATTTCTTAATAATTTTTCACCAAATAAGTATAAACAAAATATAGTCAAGATGTGTTTCATTACCTGTTTTTTCTCTTTCAGTTTCCAGTCGTAGAACTACAGGTACAAATATTTAAGCCATATTTAAATAAACTTGATAGGTTTTTTAAAATATAACTTTATATTTATATGTGTTTTTCTGTTGCATTGAGGCTGTGTAGTGTGCACTCTTGCCTCTTTAACCTGTAACCCTATCTACATGGAGTTCGTGTGTTCTCCCCAAGTATGCTACGATACACATTAACATATGTTGCAGTGAGGTTTGACATGTGTTCCTATTCATAAGACATGTAAGCTGTGGAAAAATTTGGCTCTGTTTGAATATTTCGTTATTTCGTGATTTGGATCTGGAATTCAATTTGGTGCAGGTTTCGGATTCGGACGAAATCCGAATTTTCCTTCGTTTCTGATGAGTTTACAAACATTCATTGCGAATACCACAAAAAACCATATACAGTAATACCTTGGTTTACAAGTAACTTGGTTTGCGAGTGTTCTGCAAGACAAGCAAACATTTCTGAAAAATTTTGCCTTGCTATACAAGCAATGCCTTGCAATAAGAGCAAAATTTTGTAGAAAAGGACCACCGAATAAGGCTGTAGCAGTGCGAGCGATAAATCTGTTTAACGACAATGCAATATCACATTTCCGCAAAATCCTCAAAAGGAGCCAACATCAAGTGTCATTGGATAGATTCCTTGTTAAGGTTTCACGAAATGAAAAAGATTCCATTGAGCCAAGAGATGGCAGTGATTCCGTTAGTGATAGTGAAAGTCGTCCTACACAATAATCCTCCTCTCTTGTCTCCCTCACACCAGCCACGAAGGTACCTGTAATTGGTTTATTGTTCTTTATATTTTGTACAGTATTATATTACAGTACAGTATTGTAATAATTGTATATGAATATTTTTGGGTTGTGGAACGAATCATCTGAGTTTCAATTATTTCCTATGGGGAAATTTGCTTTGATATACAAGCGCTTTAGATTACAAGCATGCTTCCGGAACGAATTATGCTCGCAAACCAAGGTATTACTGTACAGATATGAATACTAACACTAAAACTTCTACACCTATATGGCATTCGGGAGTCCCAATTTCCAAATACCATTCAGGAGCTCCAGAAAGCAATTCGGGTCTGGTAGCCAAATTAAAGGCTTCCAGAACCAAATGGCATTGGGCAGCTCTTGAATGCTATTTAGAAATTCGAACTTCATTCAGGTCTTGGAGCATCAGTTTTAGTGTTATAAATATATAAGTAGTATTCTATAATACAAACGGATATTTGTAGAGGCAACATTGTGTCCCATATATTAGGGATGCACCAATATATCGGCCACCGAAACATATCAGGCGAAAATGGCACTTTTGGCAAAATGCAGAAAGTGCAATTTTCCTGCCGATACATCGGCGCATCCCTGCTTTCTTGCCTCCCCGCTGGGCTCTGCTCTGTGTTCCACGGGGAGGAAGGAAACTGTGACAGCCAGCCAAGCGATGCGGGAGGAGAGCGCTCTGAGCGGCCAGCGTGTCTCCTCCCACACCACTCAGCCTGCTATCACAGTCCGGCAGAGCGGTGTGTGTGTGTGTCTCCACCCACACACTGCTATGCCGGACTGTGATTAGCTGTCTCGCCCACCCTGGCACAGAAGGCTCAGTTCTCCTCCCTGCACGTGTCGCTCAGCCTCCTGTGACAGGAGTGAATGGGAAGTGATCTACATCACCTCCTGTTCATTCATGATTCTGGTTATAGTAAATACACAATGTTCTCAAATTATGAATGAACTGGAACACTCATAGAGGATTCCTGTTCATTGATAACGGGATACAGAAAAAGAGACTGAGGACTTTGTGTCCTCAATCTCTTTTTCTATTTTAAAAGGGAAATATCAGGGATCTGTTTAGACCCCTAATATTTCCCAAAGCCCGTAAAAGTAAAGTAAAAAATAAAAATATTTAATAAAAAATGAATAAATAAAAATAAATATAAAAAAATGTAAAAGTTTATAAAAATAAAATATTTAACATTTTTAAAAACATTTAAATAAAAAACATTTTCGGTTTCGGCCTGGCAATTTTTTATTTCGGTTTCGTTTCGGTTTTAAAATTTTCATTTCGGTGCACCTCTACCATATATACATACAACTATACCTGATTCAGACCCATTCGTATTTATTAAACCGAAAAACACATCTGATTGACCAGAAAAGTCACATGTCCGATTCAAATTAGTTTTTAAACTAAAGTCGGACGGGATCCAAAATTCAGAAACGGAAATTTGGAAACCTGACGCATTCAGATACATTGGAATTCGGATGTGTGGGATTTCGGAAAATTATACAAATTTTGATTCGAAACGGAATGAATCGCACATGTCTACTATTCATTTTAATGGAAATGCATATGCGTTAAAAACACACAGTTGTAAATCTATGTTTATCCTGTCTACACATTTCATGTAGTCTTGTCAATGTTAAATACCCATTCTGTGAATTATATTTAGTGGTCATTTGTACACAGGTAAAAAGCCCTGTTAAACTAAATTATTTCCACTTTTAAGGATCCTGGAAAGAACAGGATTGCACAGTGGTTGAATGTTAGCGTCAGTCAGGGATTGGCTGAGCTTTCCCTTCCTCTTTCCTCTGAGCCTCCACTGGGAGAATACTCCATCCGGGTGAAAGACACAGTCCATGCATTCACTGTGGAGGAATATGGTGAGGAACTGTCCTAATAAAAACATTTATTACCGATAGTCTATACTATTTGTGATTGCTATAAATATATCTCCACAGTTCTTCCAAAGTTTGAAGTTTCCCTTCAGTTCCCTAAGGTTGTTATGTTTGACAGTGACCAGTTCCCACTTCATGTATGTGCAAGGTGAGTCTGAATATCACTGAATATAGAAAGCAACAGTTTTGTTAATAGTTAAAAGAAAACCTTAAGGATCACAGGAGGACATATACTAACCTCCTCCCGTGACCCAAAGCTCAGTATATAGCAGGCTATTGCCCACTATATACTGAGAGCGCCAGAGCCGGGACAGATCCCGACAATACTGTCAAGATCCACCCAGCTGCGCGAGTGACAGCTGGCTCTGCCTATCTAGAGGCCGTTTCTCCAGTCAGCACTGAAGGATCAGAGAGGGGAGGGGGGAATCCATGTTGGGAGCCGCTCACTGCAGGGAGATGATCGGGAAGTGAACGACTGTATGTGTTCGTTCACTTCCCCATCAATAGAGCCGACATGTGACAGTTTAATTGTCACATGTTAGCTCTAACTATGGGAATAAGTGTAAATCACTTACCCCATAGTCAGCGGCGGCTCTAGACTTTGTGAGGCCTTAGGCGAAACTCAAACGTGAGGCCCCCACTTACACACATAATGAAAAAAATGCAAACGATAATAGAAAATTAACTGTATCAATTGCATATTTTAGGATTCGCCTTTAATCCCAACAGCCAGGAATTTACAGCTCCTAGAGCTAGAATTTTATTTCTGTCTCATATCTAATTCTACAAATAACTATACACAAAACCCTAACTCTAAGGAAGTAATGCATAAAGTGAAAAAAGTCAGTAGTAAGTAACACACAGAGTGCAGAGGTCAGTAATAAAAGACATACAGAGTGCAGAGGTCAGTAGTAAGAAACATACAGAGTGCAGTGGTCAGGAGGTAATGCAGAGAGCGCAGAGGTCAGTAGTAAGAAACATACAAAGTGCAGAGATCAGAGGGAAGTAACACACAGAGAACAGAGGTCAAAAGGAAGTAACGCACAGAGTGCATTGGTCAGAAGGAAGTAACGCGCAGAGTGTAGAGGTCAGAAGGAGGTAACGCAAAGAGTGCATCAGTTAGAAAGAGGTAACACATATAGTGCAGAGGTCAGATGGAAGTAACGCACAGAGTGCATCGGTCAGAAGGAGGTAAGGCACAGAAGGCAGAGGTCAGTAGTAAGTAATGCTATGGATCAGATAATATCAATCAATTTGATAACCCAGGTAATGCGTAAAATTTAACCACAGGATATTGATTCAAAATATAAATGTAACCAAATGAAAATGACTTTTTAAATGCAATGGGTTGCTTATCAGTATCTAACAGAAAACAAAAGGTTCAGAATTGACATGTGGTTTCTCCCAGCAAAAGATGTTCACAAATTCAAACTTTTAACAGCGCATGGGCAAGATTTGTCCCATCATGCACAGGGTTGGCTATAAGCCAAGACTATGTTCAAAATAAAGAACAATTTCCACCAATTTAATTCAATATATATCAGACTAGACCATTGACTAGAAACTGAAATCAAGGTCAGTAGTATGTAATGCACAGAGTGCAGAGGTCAGTAGTAAGTAACGCACAAAGTGCAGCGGTCAAGAGGTAACACACAGAGTACAGAGGTCAGAAGGAAGTAACGCACAGAGTGTAGCGGTCAGAAAGAGGTAATGCACAGAGCACAGCGGTCAGAAGGAGGTAACGCACAGAGCACAGCGGTCAGAAGGAGGTAACGCACAGCGTACAGCGTCCCCGGATCCGCCACTGCTTCACTTCACAAAATTAAGCTGTAGAGGCGGGTTAGGCAGCTGCGAGGCTCCCGTGAGGGCGAGGCCTTAGGCGACAGCCTAATTAGAGAACCGCCTCTGCCCATAGTTCTACTTTAAGGTACTTAATTGCATTTTTAAGATTTCACTTCTGAGTTTAGTGTCACTTTAATGAACAACAACATTTGCATATGTTACCTAAGTTAGGAATATGTTATCTCTTTTAGATACACTTATGGGAAGCCAGTACAAGGAAGCTATACGGTCACTGTGTGTCAGAAAAGTTTTAGAACGTGGGCGGGACAAGATGATGGCAGCATCTGTGCTAATTTCACTGGAAAGGTAAATTCAGCAAAATGGCAAATCACGAGTGAATAATGAATTCAGAAAAGAGACGCCAACCCGAGATGGGCACATCAATGCAATTTTAACCGTTTCACTGCCACCGACGTAAGGCCTACAGCGGTACACAAGTGTTTCCAGCTGGCCACCTCAGTAAGCCTCACATCTGTGGCTTTTTCCCTTCTGCTTTAGCGACCATGAGCTTATATCAGACCATGAGCTACTATCATGCAAAAAATTGGGGCTTTATGTCTTCTCTAAAAAATCCGGCCGGCCCCTCCCCGCCTGCATCTGCAGCCTCTCTAGCCCTCTCCATACTTCTCCTTAGATCCCTTAGATCCCCTCTGCTCTCCCCCGAATTAATGGTCTGAGGCAGTGGGCATCTAAGGAGAATATGTCAGAATGTTTATACTGCTCTGATATACAGTTGTCTATTTATGGAAACAAACAAGAATCTGTAATTAAGGAGATTCCCAACTTATTTCCATAAATCA